TGCAGCATTTATGAAACGCACATACCTGGGGTAGTTATACCATGCAGTATTTATGAAACACACCTACCTGGGACAGTTATACCATGCAGCATTTATGAACACACATACCTGGGGCAGTTATAACATGCAGTATTTATGAACACACCTACCTGGGACAGTTATAACATGCAGTATTTATGAAACACACCTACCTGGGACAGTTATACCATGCAGTATTTATGAAACACACCTACCTGGGACAGTTATACCATGCAGTATTTATGAAACACACATACCTGGGACAGTTATACCATGCAGTATTTATGAAACACACTTACCTGGGGCAGTTATACCATGCAGTATTTATGAAACACACCTTCCTGGGGCAGTTATACCATGCAGTATTTATGAAACACACCTCCCTGGGAAGTTATACCATGAAGTATTTATGAAACACACATACCTGGGGCAGTTATACCATGCAGTATTTATGAAACACACCTACCTGGGGCAGTTATACCATGCAATATTTATGAAACACACCTACCTGGGGCAGTTATACCATGCAGTATTTATGAAACACACCTCCCTGGGCAGTTATACCATGCAGTATTTATGAAACACGTACCTGGGGCAGTTATACCATGCAGTATTTATGAAACACACCTCCCTGGGCAGTTATACCATGCAGTATTTATGAAACACACATACCTGGGACAGTTATACCATGCAATATTTATGAAACACGCCTACCTGGGGCAGTTATACCATGAAGTATTTATGAAACACACCTCCCTGGGCAGTTATACCATGCAGTATTTATGAAACACACATACCTGGGACAGTTATACCATGCAGGATTTATGAAACACACATACCTGGGACAGTTATACCATGCAATATTTATGAAACACACCTACCTGGGGCAGTTATACCATGCAGTATTTATGAAACACACCTACCTGGGCAGTTATACCATGCAGTATTTATGAAACACACATACCTGGAGCAGTTATACCATGCAGGATTTATGAAACACACATACCTGGGACAGTTATACCATGCAGTATTTATGAAACACACATACCTGGGCAGTTATTACCAAACGCTTCAGCGTGGTATTAAGAGTTTGTTTTCAGGGGTGGGTGATACCAAGGTGGGAAATGGATGCACATATGGGGTTAATTCCTTGAATTGCAATATAGAGGGTTCAGGCTGAAATACAATATATAGTGTTTTCATGTTTCGTCTGATATTTCTGTGGTATTCTGCTGCTGTAAGTCATGCACGATTTGTTCCGAAATTCAGTATATTGTGTGTATTCCAGGGTTATTCGTTTTTTGCTGAAAACACCCCTATTTTTTAGTGGCAGAGTCGAATAGTCTCACTCCCACTGGGAAATCTGCATTGTTGCTTGAATGTGAGTTAATTAAACACATTTTCCAGACCGGCGAAAGAGTATGCAACA